GTTAGAATGGAGAGTTGGGGATGCCTGTGCAATGAATCAGCTGTTTAAATATGATCCCTGCTCTTCATCGTAACACACCCATTCACTCCCTCAAGAAGAGGAGGTAGGGATGCACACCTCCTCTTCGTGACATGCTATTTATCATTCCACCCTCCTTACAGTGCTGGAATGAAGCCCCTCGGGCCAACCTGCTGCACTGGGCCCACAGTCTTTATTGCTGGTGTTGTAGCAGATTTAGACTTAAAGTGCAGGGTTAGAAAAACCAGCAGGCACTGTCCTGGTTATCATATACTGCCACTAGCTGGCTTCAGGTCAACGAGCCACATGTGTTCAGGTATAAACTAAACATCATCACACTGAACTTTATAAAACAGTCTGTCCTTAAAGGTGTTCATGGTTCTGCTCAGTGCACAGATGAGTGCGATGTTCAACAATGGAAACAAGCTTCTCACTCAGCACCACGACCTGAACATGATGTCTGACTGAGCTTTTAAAACCTGCAAAAATTAAACTTCACACAAGAACCGGCTAGTAGCAAGGCAAAGTAATCAGTAATCAGTGGGTGCACATTTTCTTAGCTACTGATTGGCTGTCGAGTTATTTTTTGTAGGTCAGTGGAGCTGATGGTGTGTTTAAGTGTGACAGCATGGACATCTGCAGCAACAAGATAATAAAAGCTAAAGCTGCGTCCACACAGCACATCACTGTGTTGCTGTCAGTAGCAGATATTCCTAAACCTCTATTCTCACTGGCTGCCTCAAGTTTGAGAAAAGTTTAAAGTCAACAGAGTTTTGCTACCTGTGGTTACTTTAAGTTAAAATAGACAAATGTGACTGATGATTAAAGCTGAAGGAAGCCCCGGGAGAGCGCAGAGCAGAGCTGGAGTGATGAGAGGAACTTGTAGAAAGACTTTGTTGAAGGAGCACCCAGAGTGATGTGAAACGTAACAAGTGTGATGTGGACTAAGAAAAACATGCTGTGTACTTTTGGTGTGGAGCTGTGAGCTGTGCTGATGTTTCCTGTGGTCAGCTGCATCCGAAACCTGATGGGGTTTAAAGATACGAGCCAGGAAACCAAAACAATGCAAGACGCAAGGTGATCATTTTCACTGCGTGTAAACTCTTTAAACTTATCAGTGCACCTTGCATTTCAGCGCTCTCACACGCTACTGTGGTGTAGAGTATCACATTCCAGGCCAGATCCTCACTGAGTGCAGTAAGCTCTCGTCTGGCAGCGTATGGCCTCAGCTGTCAAGGAACTGAACACAGATGTAAGAGAGTAAATCTCAGGCTTGCTGGACAAGCAGCTCAATGAGCCCAACGCACACAGGCTGACACAAACACACACCGGAGGAGGAGAGCTGCTGCTCATGCTAACAGGGAGGCAGGTGCTTCACGTGCTGACAGAATGCCCTCTGGTTAGTTTCCACCTACACATTGTATCGTAGCTCATCAAGTAATGCCACCCCACAGCATGGGGTGGCATTACTTTCGATTGGCTGTAATATAATGTAATATGACTGAGGTCATAAAACCCAAGAAAGACACAATCTTGCTATCCTCCGTGATTATTAGTCTTCCAGGGTGCATTTACATATATATTAAACTATACATGACACCTGAAGTCAATGGCAGCCTTCACTCATGGTGAAATCATCACTTATATCAATCTCAGCTTGTGAGGGAGGCCTAGCAGGGACAGCATCAGACTACAGCACAGATTCAGCCCCCTGTGCTTCACTACAAAGCCCTCGTGCTGTTTCCTCACTGTGTGAGCCGGCCCCTGGAACAGCAACTGTGCTTTTATTACCAGCAGAGCACCAGGCCAGGGCCTTTCCTCAGGGTACCAGCAGCACAAGTGTGAGTGAAAAGTGGGAAATACCTGAGACACATCAGAAAGCTGTGTGTTTCTAGGCTGCAAATACGCTCAGAGCCTCGGGGTTAGACCGCTACGTCCTGATTTTGTAATAACATTTCAACACAGCACGTGAAGCAATCCAAGCTGTGAAAATATATTCTTAGCACTACAGATGCAGTAAAACCATTTAAATGAATACTAATGCTGTTAGTATGCTGTGTACTGCTTATGCCGCATGGCTGTTAGCTTGCACTGGACCGCACGTGTGAAATGAGATGTTGCTTTTGTGTATATTGTTTTGAACAGCAGCATTGTGTAAAGCTCATGGTGATGCTTAAATGTGGTGCATGTTCCACGTGTCACCTTGATGCTGGTAACCCACAGAAATCACGTCAGCACATATTTCTGCACAGCCATCAGTATGTAGACTTTTACATGCTGTTATGCTGCGATATAGGATGAGCTATAGCTCAGGAGGTAGAGCGGATCTAACTGGAAGGTCGGTGGTTTGATTCCTGGGATGCCAGACTATCTCCTAACCCCAAGTTGCTCTCCGATGCATCTCTCAGTGTGTGACAGTGATGTTAGATGTGCCTGTGTGAATGAGGCAAGTTGTGTAAAGCGTTTTGGGTGCCCAGGCAGAACCAGTCCATAAAAGGCTAGTTTTCCTGTGAACGCTGGAAGCCTGATACACTGCAGCGTTTGCAGCTGAGATTCAATATCCTAAATTTTCCCCAAATGATTTACAAGTAGTGGAAACAATGTTGCACATTTGATGTTTAAAAATATGCACATGAGTGATTGTTCTCTATGTGTCCATTGGTGGTTCCATGCACTTCTACTTTAAGTTTAGTTGCTGCCCCGCCCCACCCTCCATACACAATAAAGAACGGTTTAGAATATGTCCGATCACCTCCAGCATGACGGGGCCCTCGGCTCCTATGATCTTTGATCTGCATGATAGACAGCACCTTCATCCAAACACTGAGTGAACATGAACAGTGCTGGTATTCCACCAGGAGACCTGAAGGATCGTCGGGGGATCACTCTTCACACGAGGGCCCAAAACATTATTCAGACACTTTTTTTCCTCTAATTTGTCACACATCTGTTTGCCCTCTGTGTTCAGACTGAACGAAGACGTTGACAGTGTTAATGTTTCCAAGTATCAGTGTGTGTCCCATGCTGGGGTGTTGGCCAAGTGTTTACTGTCTGACTTTTAAAAAGAATCTGCCCTGAAAGGGCAACAGAGGAGCAGAGAAAACTGAAAACAGAACAACACATTGTGGCTTTGCTTTTTTAATGAAGATGAATCTGATCTTATGTCATAGTTGGCAACTGTAACCAAAGCCAGTGTTTTGAGTTAGCGAGGGAGCCGGTGATTGGCATTTCAGGGGGAGTTTCTCTCGCCACAGGGGCAGGGCGCTTGGCTAACGTTAGCAAAATCCCAACCTCTGATATTCCAAACAGACTGTTTTGGAAGCTTTCAGCCCTCAACTTCAGCAATTTATCGGGGACTAATTAAAATGTAGATTTACGATGTTCTCAGATTGAGAAACAGTTCAGTCATTGAATTCCTTCATATGTGATGAAAAGATAAGTTTGTTTTTCACTCAGAGTCCTGCCCTGCTCATCTGCTGATTGCTAAAAAAAAGTCTTATACTCGTAGACCGAGGCACAGACGCCAGCAGCATTGTGTAAGTCCTTTAGCACAGAGTTCAAGTCCGACCGTGTGCAGTCAGGCAGTCTGCAGCGCCTAAGATGGAGCCCTCATTTGACTGAGGGAAACAGAGAGAGTGAGGTGGGTCCAAGCCACGATGTCTGAGTCAAGGGTGGAAACTCTGAATGTTCTCGCGCCACTGTGCAAAAAAGCTGCAAGCTATTACACATCACAGTGCAGCCTCTCAAGCTAAAAAAAGAAACAGGGCTCTCCTCAGCTCCCCTCAAAGAAAAAAACGTGCTCCTTCTTAAAAGAAACATCTGCCCCCAATCCTCTGCTTTAAACTGGACCTGACGCATGCTCGTGGTATTTTCCATCTTTTTAGAAATAGTGAGGAAAGAGTGAAATGACTTTCTGAACCGATTTCATCTGACTTGAGCTGCCAGTAGGCGAAGGCTCTTTGTCCTACATACAGCATGCTATGGAAGAGATACCTGGAGGCCACCTGTACTGCAAACTGAAGCTGCATATTCATTTTAACTGCTGTAGTTTTGGTGTTGAGAAGGTGGAGCTGCAGAGACACACACACACACACACACACACACACACACACACACACACACACACACACACACACACACACACAGCCATGATCTCTGCTTCCCTGTGTTGTCTAATAACTTAATGCCAGTAGAAAGGGCATTAATGATAAGACCTGGGGTGAACTCAGGAAATGTATCATAAATTGGAGAAAGAGAGGAAGCTGTGTTTTCTGATAAATTGTTACCATCGCTCTAGCTTTGTTCTGTTGGCTCATACTTTAATTATTAAGTGTGATTTGGAGTCATTTGGTTCATGATTTACAAACTCTTGTTTGCTGTTCATCCTCCTCAGTCTAATGCTGTCGTTGGTTGATCGCTTCACTCTAATGCAGTTCCACAAGCATTTGGCTCCTTTTGCAAAGCCTGGTAATAATTACATAATAATTACAGTTCTCTGCTTTTATTTCCATGCAGAAACACAACGTTTCTGTTAAAAGATCATTTTTTTGTTTTTCAGGAAATTAAAAGTCTGTGGATGATCAGGGTGGTGTTTGAAATGCAATACGAGGGCGCGTCTATACAACAAAAACACTATCTTTGCATTTTTTTTGTCCATCTTAAGTGATTATTCTGAGCAACATTGCAAAGTCAGAGTAATTCAAAGGTCAGACTTTCTTTCTTATCATCTGTCCAGAGAAAAGTCTTACTGGTGTGTCTGAGAGTGAAAGCAGCTTCCAGTAAGAACCACTCCCTGAAGCCCTCAGCATCCCAGCAACATCTTCACCAGACTAAACCACCTTTGTAGGAGTTTTCAGTGATATGGCTCACAAACCAAAACCCTGCTCGGTTATTCGGTTCATCCATGAACCACACCCATCTCTCAGGGTTTCACTCCCACATCAGACTGACTAACACATACTGAAACACAAACACTCTCCCACCTGATAAATCATGACTTTGAAGTTGCGTCTCTTGAGCAGCTCCGCCTCGTTGTTCTCCAGCTTCTTGATCTGGCCTCCTTGCTTCTCCAGCGTGGCTCGCACTGTCTTGACATTGACGCTCACCTTGCGCACCTTTTCCATCATCTTGTTGACACTGTTGGATGTGGTGCTGTGGCTCTTGGTGAGTTTTGTGAGCTCGCCTTGGATGCTGGTCACCGTACGCTCCATCTCCTGCTGCCTGGCCTCCAGCCCGCTCTGGGTCTGCTGGATCTGGTCCACTGCCCCAATGATCTTGTCAAGCAGTGAGAGCACCATGACCCCGTTAACCTGTGGATCAGCTTTAACGCCATCATCTTTGTCCTCGGCGGCGTCCCCTTCTGTGCCCATTGTGGACAGTTCTTTCTTGGCTGCGGCAAGGGCGTTGTCTTCATCATCTGAAGGTGGAAGGTTAACCTCATCATCAGAGATCTCAGTGAGAGTTTGAGGCTCCAGCTGGGCACTTCCAAACTCCAGTGCTTCCATGGCTGCCATGTTGGTAGATTTTATAAAGTGTAATCAACCTTTTTCACCACAGTTTCTTCTGGATTACTTTCTCACTCCTTATCTTCCCACCTGCGTCTTCCTCTGCTCTGCTCTGCAGCCTCTTCTTTTTTACTTCCTATTTACAAACTCTCTAATCCCTCTCCAGCACACATACATAGAGCCTGTCTTTCTCGGCTATCTGTCCGTTCTGTCTGAAGCTCCTGGAGTCGGGCCAGTGATCAGGGGAAGCCGAGCGATGCTGGATGTGACCACATGAGCGTTAGGATGTAAATGTCTCACCAGGCAGAGAGATCCTCCAGTCAAGCTACAGCCGGCAGCGCTTTTTTTTTCCAACCCACCCTCCCTTTTTTCCACTGGGCTCTCCTCCTCTCCTCACACCCCTCCTTTATCTCCTCCCTAAATTTACAAATTTCAGTATGACTCCACCTAAGTCCAGCCCCTCATGACTCGATGGCACACCCACATGGCCTAGCCTTGTCCCATCAGCATGGCTGAAATAGTTAGCAGAGCTGCACTGATCTGCTCGTATACAAGCTGAGGCACAGCCGAAGGAGGAATGCCAAGCTGGAGCTATTCTTGTTTCCATTCCTGTCTCCCTGCTCTCCACAACATGGAAAGCAGCAGTGGATGAAAAACACAAAGAATAGAAAGCAGCTTGTAAAAGCTAACAGCTTACAGTTCTAAAGTCTAACATTTAATACTATTAGGGTAAGTTGTCCCAAGATTTTCAACCACAGCTTGAATCTTAGCGATCAGGCCCTTTTGGGTTCAGTTAAGATTGAGGCCTTGTTTAGACCGCAGCACAAGTTCAGACCAACTATTTTTTAGACTGAGGCTTAAGTCAGCGCCAGCTGGCTGTGTTGGCTCCAAAGACATTTCTTTCTACACGTGACGCTGATAAAGTATAAACTTCTTTCCACAGAAAAGAAAACTACCATGAGGTGCTGTGGAGGAAATTTATGATGTCTTTCCTAACCAAGAAGTGACATATCATATGCCATAAAAGTGACATATCAAACATGTCTCAAGGAAATTTTCTGAAAGTCAGGTTACCATCTGGTAAATCTTCCTCATTTCAAGCACTGTCGTGTAATTTGTGACAGGAAGTAATGCTGCATCTGCAACTGGGTCAGATCAGCAGGATTATTCACATCATGAACCAACATCCACCTATGCACCTAGGAGCAATTTAAAAGGAGGGGGGAACAACACTAAAGAGGACGTACTATAAAGCACATTACAGGTGCAGCTGTTGGTTACAAAGGGCACGGGACATCATGATTACTTACCTGCATCCATCATCACTGACTGCTCCCACCTAAGGCCTCAGACGAGTCTGATTCCTCCTGGGTCGTTGTGCTACTTCCTCAGTGTAACCCAGTGATGTCCTTGTGTTCTCCTAGTGCTAACGTCAGCCTCTCTCTGTGTATAGATTCCCTGGACCTTGGCCTGTTTTCCTTCCCCGTGGACCCTGAGTGGATAAGCGTAAGAGTGAGTTTGGACTGGATTATTGTGTGAGTCAGCGTGTGAAGAGGAGTTTGGACCTTCCCCTGGCTGCCCTGGACCCAGCTTCGTCCCCCCAGCACTGTATATATGTATATATCTCACCTGGTGACACCTGTGTAAATAAATTCATTCAGAGTCCTGTGTTTGATTCATGCACTCGTAATCGTGACAGTTATGCAGATGGGAACTGATAAGAATTTAGTGATTATAAATTCATTATCAATATCACTTATCGATTCGATTCCCTATCGATTCTCATTGGCTCCAGTTTGAGGGTCACCATCACCTCTCAGCGGCATATCAAAGACATTACATCCATGCACATTAACTACATGCTGTGTGATCGAACATTCGTGCATGTTGGAGGTGTTCCCCGCTTTGTTGTGATCGGTGATGACAGGGGATTTCTTTATTAAATTATTATTATTATTTTGTTAAAAAAGTGAATGCACATATTGCACAGAACACTTGTCTTAAAAGTAATGCAGTACGTTACTTCATTACACCCAGGATAAAGACATTCGTGTACTACTCGTTACTTTCATGTTACTCTGTAAGATCTGAACACTGTCACATAGTTACCACTGAACAATATAAACCTACAGGCTACAGTCACACACACCAACACAATCCATCCTGATGACCTCACACGTGATCTTTCTCTGTGTGTCGGTATGAGCACAAAGCAAAGATGAAAACCAGCACAAAGAGACTTCATAACGGTTGTCACGGTGATTCTACTGTAGAAACGCCTCGCCTCTGTCAGTGCGCCCCAGGGTGGCTGTGGCTACAATGTAGCTTACCATCACCAGTGTGTGAATGGGTGGATGACAGGTTATGTAAAGCGCTTTGGGGTCCTTAGGGACTAGAAAAGCGCTATATAAATACAGGCCATTTACCAAACATGAACAGGTAGAAGCGGAAGCTGCAGCCTGACTGCTGTTCAGCAGCAGCTCAGGTTATCACGGTGCTGGGTCAGCACTTCCTCAGCTTCAGCATCACTCTGCGTTCTTCGCTATTAGAGTTAGCATGCTGTTTGTGCAGGTGCTTGCTAAGAGCCAAAGTTGTGTTAACAGTATGATGCAGCTGTTTCTGTCCTGCAGCAGTCTCCACTTTACAATCGCGCTCTCGTCCTTTCTCCTACAATAATAAAAGTCTCGTCCATGTGCTCTAAACTGCGCTACTATTTCCTCCTCTGACACACGAGCTGAAATCAGCTGATTGTAGCGGGAGAACAGATAGGCAGGCATTTCTTCTTCACTCACCTGTGTTTGTACACCACTCTACATCTAATCATTATTAATCTCTGGTTCTCTTCCTGTCTTCCTCCCCAACTGGTCACTGTAGATGGGCCTGGTTCTCCAGGAGATTTCTTCCTGTTCAAAGGGAGTTTTTCCTTCCCCCTGTTGCCAAGTGATACTCACAGAGGCTCATCTGATTGTTCTCTGTATGATTGTAGGGTCTTCACCTTACAATATGAAGTGCTTTGAGCTAACTGTTGTTTTGATTTGGGACTCTAAAGTAGCAGAAACAGCTTCAGCAGGTATGCTCCAAGTCTTACTTCATTTTCATGTTCACATACTGCAGGATGACTCGTCTCCAGGATCACCATGTCCTTACTGATGGAGCTCCAGTCAGCCATGACCTGCTGGAGAGCTGTCTCCTTATGGGGTACTGTCTCTGTAGATGATGTCTTTGTGCTTTTTTCTCGGAGCCATGGAGTGATCAGCTGATCAGCTTTGTTCTCCAGTTCCTGCCCCACGGCATGCAAGCATGGAATAGGATTTTAACATGCTCACCTGCCATGTGAAAACTACCCCAGCAGTGCACTCAACCCAGAAACTGCTACAGACACACAGTGGAGTGTTTACATACAAACACTTATTTAATTAAACTCCTTCTTTACTGTATTTTATTTTTGTTTTTGTCATCTGACCTGTTTAGCTCTCTGATGTTGTATCTTAATGAGTTGGTAAATGTTTTCATGCTTTAACTGTTGTGCCACAATAATTTCCCAGATTCTGGGATAAATAAATTATTTCTCATCTCTTCTAATCTAATCTTAGCAACAAAACTTTGCAAATGTACATATCTATGACTGAGTCAGTGTAAAGAACAGACAGTTTACTGAAGCACTGACTTTGAGTGTTAAGGTTAATGATGACAGGATACCTCTGCCCTCTACGCCATGACAGCCATCCCAAAGGTAAAAGCTGTTTACTTAAATAAGTTGGGCTGCTTCATAATAACAGGCCCCAGTAGCTCCAGTGCCGCCTGTAGCGCAGGCCCCAGTAGCTCCAGTGCCGCCTGTAGCGCAGGCCCCAGTAGCTCCAGTAGCCCAGTCCCCGATAGCAGCACGGTCCGCTGGTCAGCTTAACATTCAGCCAGGGGTCCCAAATCTCCCTGGCTCTGCATCAGCTCCTGCTGGGAGCTCGGATGAGCTCATCCAGGACTCCGCGGCTCCCACGCCGCCATCTACCTCATCAGCTGGGGGGCCTGAGGGGCCCGTTCAGCCTCCCGTCTCCACTGGAGGGTCCGAGGGGCCCATTCAGCCTCCCGTCTCCGCTGGAGGGCCCGAGGAGCCCGTCCAGCAACCTTCCTCGTCGGCTGGGGGTTCAGGAGAACCGCACCAGCCTCATGCCACGTCTGCTGGGGGGCCCGAGCCGCCTGTCCAGCACCATGCCACATCAGCTGGAGGGCCCGAGGAGCCCATCCAGCCACCTTCTGCTTCTGCTCCTCCTGGTCCAGCTCCAGCCCGTGCTTCGTCTGCCGCAGCTCCAGCCCGTGCTTCGTCTGCCGCAGCTCCAGCCCGTGCTTCGTCTGCCGCAGCTCCAGCCCGTGCTTCGTCTGGCGCGGCTCCAGCCTCCGAGTCTTCGTCTGGCGCGGCTCCAGCCTCCGAGTCTTCGTCTGGCGCGACCCCAGCCTCCGAGTCTTCGTCTGGCGCGGCCCAGCCTCCGAGTCTTCGTCTGGCCCGGCCCAGCCTCCGAGTCTTCGTCTGGCCCGGCCCAGCCTCCGAGTCTTCGTCCTCGTCTGGCCCAGCCTCAGCCTGTGCTTCGCCTGGTCCAGCTTCATCCGAGTCGTTATCCTCGCCGGGTCCGGCCCCAGCCTCTGCAGCGACGCCTGGTCCGGCCTCCCTTTGTGGTTGTTTCATGTTTCCCCAGCCCGTTATGTCTGTGTTTTCCCCGTGCTCTCTCTCCTCCTGTCTGAACCTCTGTGCCTGTACATGTCATGTTCAGTTCACCCCGCCCTGTCTCATTATGATTATCAGTGTCACCTGTGTTCCCCGTGTGTGCCCACTTTCCTCGTTTACCCTCTGTGTATTTCTGTCTGAGTCTCCCTCTGTTCGGCGTCGCGTTCTCCCTCAAGTTGTGTGTTATTCTCCCCGTGGTTCGGTTCCTTGTACATCTCATGCTTTAGTTTTCCCAGTTTTAGTTTATTTTGTATTGCTTCTCGTGGCCAGCAATAAAGCTCTGTTTTTTGAGTTTATCCCCGTGTCTGTGAATCTGCATCTTGGGTCCTTCTCCTGCCTGCCACACAACGAATCATGACACTGTGAGAACAAAATCTTTTAACATATGATTTTTAAAAGAGGCTGATTTTAAATCTGTGGAAATCCAGCCAACATCTTTCAGTTATACAGTCATATTTGGTTATTGAAGGCATCTCCATGGCACACGTTATGAAAAACACATGGCACACACAATGAGGCAGAAAGCTGCTCCATGCAGTCGTCTGCTGTGGTAATTTATGTACATTAAGGGAATTCCATGCTCCAAAATTGCTCACTGGCAGCCTCCCAGTGTCCTGATTTAAACCCTGCACCATGTGGA